GCCCCTTTGGGGGGCAGGGGGGTCCCCATGCCGAGCGGGCCCAGAATGCGGACTACGAAGTGGCCGGCCCTTTCTCCGGCGCCAAAATATACGGTTGGGGCGGTGGTGGTGACGACTGCGTTCGCCAATTTCGAGGGCAACGGAAGCATATATCCCGTTTTCCCCCGCCAACCAGCAGAAAGCCAGCCGCGCCTATTGTGGATATGCGCACCGCCGGCCCCGGGAGCAGTTACCTCGTGCCGCCCCGCGCTGGAAAAAGTAGTGCGGTGGCGCGTGTGAAGCTCTATGCGTGACCTCCTTGATGCGCGACGGCCAACTAATTGATGCCCGCAAAAGCCACTGCTTCCTTCGACGAAAATCGCGCTTTCGACTCACATGTTTCCTTCTACGGATTCGCACAGCACGTCGCGCTGCATCGCCCAACCCAATCGCATCGGTACTAGCGTGGCTGAGTTGATGGAAGGGTTTTCTTCTGCTTCTTGGTCTTGAGAGCTTCCTGGATGAAAAGGCAACTCCTTTTAAAGGGCTCGTCACTGGTGTCCCAGGCATCCTGAATTTGAAATCCGTGCTGATACGAGATGTATGTAAAGCCACCTGCACAATGATAAATAATTGTCTCTGCTTTCGCGGTTGCGATAGTAGGAGATACAGGAAGCAAAATGCTTTGGTTTGTCTTTATACACCAGACCTGGTGTTGCCGGCATTGGAAATAGGTATTGAACTACAGCGAGGATCTGCTCTGATAATTTATTTTTTGGGTATTTCATGCTCCCATTTAATACACGGATATTTTCCTGCAACCCGACCATTCTCCCCCAAGAGCTTCTTTTAAGGTTGCTACACGCCCCAGAATTCACCTCGTGGATGAATCTCTTGTGAAACGTTTTGTGCAGTTCCTTTTCATGCAAAGTCATCGATTCTATCTTGTGGAAGGATGGCACATTCCGCTGGTCTTCGGGCGCTGAGACGGCTAGCCCCTCTTCCTAAGGGCTCTTGGTGTCGAGCAATCCCAGTTTGCAAGCTGATTTTGAGAACAGGCAATCTTACCACACATGGCCTTCATGTCGACATCCTTCTGGTTGGGTAACTCCTGTGTTTGAGCAAGGTGTTGTTGCAACCCTTGAAATCGAAATGGTGCCTTCTGCATCTCCAGAAAGATTTCATCCCCAACTTCGACGCAAGCAAAATGACGCTGTGGACGCAGAGACAACCCACGTTTCTCCAAAGGCGCAAAGCCAATGCAAATAGTCAAAGATGCTTACTCGACAGCGTTTGGCAAATCCTGATTTTTTTCGGTATGGTGAATGCGACCGACTACTGGAGTAAGAAGACTACAATCATCCTGTGTATCTGATCAATGTGAACTATGAGTTCTTCTGCTACACCTAAAAGTCAATCTGGTAGTAAGCCAACCATGGACTATGTTTTGGCCAGAAACCTTTAAAACAAAAGGCCGTTGATCCATCATATTATGCTAAAACAGTAAACGCACTTGCTGACCCTTTGGATACAAAGATCATGAAGACAAGACTGCACCGCTCATAACACCTCTATCAGTATGTTTTTTTAACACCCTACAAAAAAAAAAACTGACTACATCTATTCAAAAAAAAAAATACTTATACCAGACCCCGGCCCATATAAGCAACACGAAAATAATAATTGTCTCACTAAGAATAACACAAAAAAAACAGCCTGGACCCATCCTTTTGCAACACATCCAAAACAAAAAGGTACAATCATTGTGTCTACACGACAGAGGTGCTGTGCAGATGCCGGTCTTTCCCATTTCCACCCCTTCAGTGGCCGCAACGCGGTCTGCTTTACACACGCACCGCAGATAAAACCTTAAAAAGAGTTCATTGGGTACGACATTGAGCTGCTTGTGGAGAAGACGACGGAGAAGGAGGTGACAGATGAGGACGAGGACAACGAGGAGGAGGCGGCCAAGAAGGAGGAGGGCGAGGAGCCGAAGGTGGAGGAGGTGAAGGACGAGGACGAGGCGAAGAAGAAGAA